GGGGTGAGAGGAAATCACGCTCACCACTACACCACCGGCGCCGCTATAGGATTGTTTACCTGTTATTCCCTTTGTACTTTGCCGCATTAACATACATACTAATCCATTCAGTACGGTTTTACCATAGAGGTAACTCTAAGACTAGAAGGTCCCGAAGAAACGTGCTCAACTTTTTGGCTCAGCTCTGGTACTCTCTCTGGTACTTCTAAAAGTTTTAAAATCCATGGAAAATTCAAAAATTAGAAAATTTATCCCGAGCTTGTACGTACTTAGTCCTGTCACCCCATTTAATGATAGAAATAAAATTTGACGATTCCATTGATTGCTTGCTTGATTGGTCATTTGAAATTTTACAGACTTTTTCAGCAATTCCAAAACCCAGTAAAAAATACTCGACTTCTGTCCAACAATCTATGTTTGTATGTGTTCAATTATTAAATATTTTATCAGGAGTCTAAAAACCAAAGCAACCCGGAATATTAATATTAACGAAAATACCAACCCAAGTATCTAGTATTGCTAATTTTATCGAGGTTTTAAAGGATTCTACAAGTACAAACCATTATCTACAGAACCCTCATAAAACCCAGAATGTTACTTGGGCAATATCATAATACCTACACTGATTTGTTATCAGTAGAGCTAGATAATCTTCATATACCATTTAGATCTAAATTTTGGTATGATTACTCTTTACTGTTAACTTGACCACACGGTTGAACGACTAAAGGGTGTCCACGATGAAATTGCTACACACAAAATTGATTCGCAAAATTCGAGTTTTCATCCGATTGCCATCAAATTTTCAGGGATTGAGATATAACTATTAAACTTCATTTTACCATTTTACTCGTATTTTATTTACAGTCCATACGCAAATGCCCGCACCTTGGCCTTAACCCCGGCCATAAGATTTTGCACAACCTGTGAATCAACCGTTTTTTGCATGTAAACCCATACTTTCTTCAGTTCCTCGACTGTCTTCACTACCTTAGGTCGTTTAAGAAGGTGCTGCTTCATAATCGCCCAGTACTTCTCGATGGGGCGGAGCTCCGGAGTGTTGGGAGGGTTGAACATTTTCGGCACGAAATTGACCTTATTGTCCGCATACCACTTCAGCACGTCCTTGGAGTAGTGGCATGAGGCCAAATCCGGCCAGAAGATTGTTGGGACGTTGTGGGCCTTCAGGAGAGGAAGCAGCCGCTTCTGGAGGCACTCTTTTATGTACACCTGTCCGTTCATCGTGTCCTGGGTCACGAAATGTGCACTACGCTTCCCGCACGTGCAGATGGCTTGCCAAACCAGGAATTTCTTCGCAAATTTGGACATCTTCTGAGTGCGGACATGCTCCGGAACGCTGAACTTATCCTTGGCCGTGAAAAACAGGTTGCCGGGGATCTGTTTGAAGTCGGCCTTCACATATGTTTCGTCGTCCATGATGCAGCATTCAACTTTCGTCAGCATGTTGAGGTACAACTTCCTGGCACGGGTTTTGGCGGACTTGTTCTGCTTCTCGTCGCGATTAGGGGCATTTTGTACCTTGAACGTTCGAAGCCCAGCCTTAGTTTTGGCCTTCTGGACAAAACTTCGGCTTAGGTGCAGCTTCTTAGCCACATCCCTAACGGAGGCGTTCGGATTTCGGTTGAAGGCCCCAACTACGCGGTTGTGATTTTTGGTGTTGTACGGAATACTTTTTCCTTCACTTCTGGGCTTCCGATCGGTGGTCAACCGTTCCTCGAACCGCTTAATCACTCGCGACACCGTGGAATTTGCGATTCCCAACGTTTTAGCGATGGAACGATGCGAGAGATCCTTGTTCTCGTGATGAATGCGCAAGATTTTATCACGCACGAGCTGTTCTTTCGACTCCATTTCCGCGAGTTTTGATCACAGGACTTTAAAACTTGCAGAATGTAAATAATGCATAATGAACTAAATCCACCCAAATTTTCATTAAATTCTACCCAACGGTTAAAAAGTTAGAGCAATTTCATAGTGTGGCAATTTCATCGTGGACACCCTTTATATCATAATATCAAATTTTGTTTTCATTTTATTTTCATTTTGAATCGTCATTTCCCAAGTCTGCCAAGGGCGCTTTAAATCCTCACTACGTCTCTGCATATACCAATCGGCTCAGTTCGTTGAGATAGTAGAATGTCTATAGACCAGGTAGGGTACCATTGTCCCGCTAAACGCTATTGAATAGTTCTGGAATCGGTCAACTGGTTCCGAAGATCGGATCGGAAAATGTTCCGGTTAAAACGGGTCTCGAGTTTATAAGTGATATGAAACGTGCCAATCACATATGCGACATAATAAAACATATGAGAATTCGAAAACAATATCAATAGTCATATTGAATGTCCACGCCCATATTGGTCACTTCCGAGCATGTTCCAAGTACCCAAGTGGCAAGTTTCTGACTTAGACGAAACCCCATCATGCGACACCTCAAATCACATAAGAATTCCTAAACAAGTTTACTAGAAGTTATTTCAAATGGAACTCCCTCTGACTTGGGCCAATTCAGCCATTACGACCCTGGAAAGTATCCAGTTTCTGACATGCCCTAAATTATATTAAATAACATGAAAACTAAATATTAAGCTGGAATTTTTATTGGCTTTCTCAGCCTTGCGGGAATTGAAACGGTTTATTTTTGCATTGCCCGATATTTCAGACAAAAGCCAAATAAATAAGGACCGAAACGTCGGGCAATAAAAAAATAAACCGTTTCAATTCCCAAAAGGCTGAGAAAGCCAGTAAATATTCCAGTACAACAATACCAGTCCAATAATCAATCAATCTAAAGAATATCATATCATAATATCATAAGTTCCAAACCCACATTGGTCCCACTCGGATATGTTCCGGGTACCTCCGGATGTATTACCATTGATCATGCCAAGGTCTGGGAGCCCCATCAAAATATAAGTATATAATCGCCTGATAAAATTCTTCAATGAGTCATAACATATCCAATAAGTAATAAACATTAGGCGATTTATGAAAAATAAAAACAAAAATTAATCGTTCGTGAGCACGATTAGTGCTTTGATTTTAAAATTTTGCTTTAAACTTATTGATAAACTAAACATATTTTTTATCGGGTACACTTCTTCTAAGACACAATTTCGATGATATCAATGGTTTTCGAGATATGATTTTTTGAAACTTATACATGCCTATGCCTATTTGAAAAATTAGTATTGATGGTTCTAATGGTCCTTAACCTATCGAAAACATTTGTATCCCATACCGAAGACATGTTAAAAGTTTCATCCAAAACGGAGTGGGTCAAGTTGGGTCATTTGCTTAATAGACACAGACTTTCTTAGACCATAGTAATACAGATGCTGTTCGATGAAAAGTGATCAACTAGTGGCCCATTCGGCTTAATGGTATTCGGCTTAATGACCCATCACTGAACCACTGTGCGTTGGAGGCTCTAGGTCAGGGTGATCTTGTTAGGTCTCAGTAAAATGATCGTTGGCTGAATTTAAAGCCAATAAACCATTTAGTCAAGGCTATTTTTCACACAGATGGCGCTGTTCCATTAGTAGTAAGTAATAGAAATTCCAATGTCAAAATTTGGAAAAGTGGAATTAAATCGTTGTTGATGCATTTTCAGGTCAAAAAAATTGTCGAAAACCTAAAGAAATCATTCATTTTTCATCATTTTTATCGTTATCGTTCAGATTTTTCCGGTAATTATTGTTAAACAAGCGACAATTAAGCGACAGAAAGCGAAAAAAATTAAAATTGAGAGAACATTCACAGACAAAAAAATACAGTACCTTAAACTGCAAAATATGTCTGGTATCTCTATCTCTATGGTATCTTACTTAGAATAACATCCGAAGTTCCTCCTTTTTTACATATTCTGCATAAAATATCGTTTTTATCGTTAGATAAAATTGTAACTAGAGTGTATTCGAATAGCAGAATCATTCAGCAATAGCCATAAGCCATAAGAAACGTAAAAACAACAGATTTATTCTGCTTTCCAATCGATGAGCGATAAAAGTAAATGTAAACACCCGTCGATTGAATAGCCGTAAAATGGTTGTATTCAAAACAAACTGGCCCACTACATACCGGAGTAGGGTATAGTGGTTTGATTATATAGGAAGCATGTGTTTTAGTCATTATACGCATCTTACCGTTTACTTTATTATATATTATTGAAATATCCCTATTCGCAACGTGCCAGATCACTGAATAACAAAAAACATTAACAGATGCAGGCAACGTGGTCATTGGTCGTTAACCTAATAAGCATAGGGTGCGAAGACATCCGATTTTACATTTTGAGAGAACTAAATTGTAAATTCAGTCGATTGCGGATATGAATTATTCCAACATCTCGGTTTGCATTTTACAATTTATTTGTTCAAATGAATTAATGTTTGTTCAAATCTGATACGATTGTTGAAGGACTTCCACATTATGTAACCAAGTCGAAACGACTTTTTCATACAAGCGTTCATACGAAAAACGCTTTGTTTCAGCTTCTCAAATGAGGCCCCAGGTATGCATGTTTACGTACAGAGGTATAAAGGTGATATCGATATGATATATATATATTATGATCAGCATCGATAATGTATCGGTCCAAACAACATTTCCAACTCATTACAGACGCGTATAGTAATACCGCATGATTGAAAGCTCCAGTACATTATTAATGATTCCCACATTGAAATGTATTGGAGCGGGGCCTATCGTTTAAGAAAATAGTTTCGGAATGCTTGCGTAATGGTCTTTTGGAGTTGCGATAGAGCTGTCACCTTCTTACTTGCGGATTTAAGCTTTTTGCAGGAGGATTCTGTCCATAATGCCACTGCCAGTCAGTGGGAGTTAGATTGTAAATACACACAGGGGTATAAAGGTGATACTCTACTACCTATTGTTGAACTCATCACGACTGTAGGCAATAGTTGTTGTCATATAGTTGAACTGGATAATTAATCCAACCAGCAATCAAGCATACTCACATTCCATCCAAAGGCATCCCCGATAAACTCGTTCTGTTTCTCCTGCAGCTCTTCTGAGTCGCTGTCCGGGAGCGTTTCATTGCCACTGTCTTCGTACTCGGGGATCGACTCCTGCATACTGATTGTGGTGCCATCCTCCGCCTTTTCCAGCAACGGTGCCAACGTGACACTTTGCTCATGGTTGATCGACTTCTGCCGGAGGATAGATCCGAACTTTTCGAAGAAGCTTCCATCCGAGTCTTGAATACTGCAATAAGGAATAGAATAAAAAGTTCAGTAAGTGCTATGTTGGTAGATATCATATCTCTGATTTTTTGTCATCATATTATGTATCTGTCACTTAATTAATTGCTTAAATTTATCAGATTTATTGTGTGGCCTCCGGGACCTTCCTTCAGCCATATAATTGAACATTTTCGGCCATACATAGGCACATGGTTTACTGTAACCAACCGGCATAGGATAACGTAATCCCGGTTTCACTATCGCGTTCGATGAAGACAATAGCGCTAGGTATAGGAGAGAGGGAACTTGAACATGTTCGTATGAAATAAATAAAGTAGTCAATAATAGGATGGATAGGTATCTTTAGGGTCTGTAATGAGAAGTATAAAGAGTGTATCTAAAATTAGTTATAAACATATTTTTTCTCAATCGATACAATATATTTTAGATTGAAGTTTGCTTCATCAACTATGTACGTCATGTCCTTCTTCAAAATTGACTACAAAATAAAAATAAAAAAATAAAAACATTCCTTAACACTCCGAATACGGTGGGTAAAAAACTTTACGCCGACTACGAAGCCTCCGAAAAACGTGTAACGGGAAGATGGCAATGGCATATCTTAGCCATTTCTTAATTAATATCAAAAATTGTGGTACCTTAAGAATTCCTAGGATCCGTAAAAGATTGAAAATAGAGTCGTCTATTTTGTTAAAAAGCTAAAAGAGTTGTTACACTTTTTTTTAAAGGTGTGTTTATAGGGTTTTGCAAGTGGCGCAAGATATGTAATTTATATTAATGGGCACAAATTTTCAGAATTAGTCAGAATACAGTGATGGTTCCTATGTATGGATCCTGGAGACAATGGAAGGGTCCTCAAAAAATCTGGAATATCCGTAAAAGCGGTCAATAAATGAACCTGATCCTATAGCTTTTTTTAAACATTAGGAACTGTTATATAAAACAGTATTTGGGGTCGTGACATAAACATGGACCTGCATGGCCATGGGACCATCCTCCGGAAGATCCGGAACATCCGTAAAAGTGAACAATCCACGAAACTGATCCTAGAGCTCCGAGTTTTTTTAACATTTGTTTCTGAAAAACACTGAGAACTGAGATGATAGAATGAATTTGGGGTCTTGACATAAACATGGACCTTGATGACCATGAGACCGTCCTCCGGACGATCAGGAACATCGGTGGAAAATTCACGATCCTGATCCTAGAGCTCGGCGTTTTTTTTTTTAACCATTATTAGGAACTGTGATATTGGAATGAATTTGGGATCGTGAAGATTCTCCGGAAGATCCGAAAAATCCGTAAAAGTTGTCAATGTTTGGAACTGATCCTAACGCTCCACGATTTTTGCACAATCGATCGAGATCAGCTATGGTAGTTTATGCACGAGTACAGATATCCGGATAAACTGACGCGATTGGTCAAGGCGATGATGGATCGAGTGATGTGCGTTGTTAGAGTATCGGGGACACTCTCGAGTCCCTTTGAATCTCGAAGGGGGTTACGGCAAGGTGATGGACTTTCGTGTCTGCTATTCAACATCGCGTTAGAAGGTGTGATCAGAAGAGCTGGGATAGACACGAGTGGCACGATCTTCAGGAAGTCCATCCAGCTTCTTGGCTTCGCCGATGACATCGACATCATGGCACTAACTTTTGAGACGATGGCGGAAACGTACCTCAGACTGAAGGCTGAAGCTAGGCGGATTGGACTAGCCACCAACGCATCAAAGACAAAATACACGAAAGGAAGTGGTTCTAGGGAAGACAATGTTAGCCTCCCACCCCGAGTTCAGATTGACGGTGACGAAATCGAGATTGTCAATGAGTTCGTGTATATGGGCTCACTGGTGACCGCCGAAAATGATACCAGCAGAGAAATTCAAAGACGCATTATGTCAGGAAATCGTGCCTACTTTGGACTCCGGAGGACGCTTCGATCGAATAAAATTCACCGCCGCACGAAGTTGACTGTCTGCAAGACGGTGATTAGACCGGTGGTCCTCTACGGCCACGAGACCTGGATTATACTCGCGGAGAATCAACGCGCCCTTGGTGTTTTCGAACGGAAGGTGTTGCGTACCATCTACGGTGGAGCGCAGATGGATGACAGAACGTGGAGGAGGCGAATGAACCACGAATTGCACCAGCTGCTGGGAAAACCATCCATCGTCCACATTGCAAAAATTGAGCAACTACGGTGGGCTGGACATATCGTAAGAATGCCGCACGACGACCCAGTGTAAATGGTTCTCGAAAGCGACCAAACAGAAACAAGAAGAAAAGGCGTGCAGCGGGCAAGGTGGATCGACAAAGTAAAAGGCGACCTTACCTGCAGACCCTTCGCAGACTACGAGGCTGGCGAAGTGTGGCCATGGATCGAGCAGAGTGGAGACGACTTCTTCGGACAGCAGAGGACAACAATCAAGCAAGCCACATGGACCCAAATGACTATCGGACCGTCCTCCGGAAGATCCGTAAAAGTGGTTCATCCATGATACTGATTCTAGAGCTCCGTAGTTTTGTGGAAAACACTTCGAACTGTGATATATGAAAGAATTTAGGGTTCAAACATCAACATGAACCTGAATAACCATTCGACCGTCCTCCTGAAGATCCGGATCATCTGTAAAAGTGGATAATCCATGAAACTGTAAAAAAACCGTGTTTTTTTTCGAAAACTCTTGGAACTAAGATTCAAATATTTCAGTTTGATGTTGATATAAAAATTTGATTTCGATTTGCTGTCATTTTGATGATGGATGCTGATGGGTAGACACCCACAAATTTCCACGAAAGTCTTTTCTGTAAATTATTCCCTCACTGGCTTCATAAAAATCCATTCCCCATTGTACTATCTTTGCTCCTGCGAAGTGCACATGTGTTAAAATTTGATTCAATCACTTTTGTTGAAACAATCCAATTTTTGGAAACCGCAACAACCTGCACTGCTGGTTTGAGTTTCTCGGGTATATTCAATTATAAGATGTTTCTGAAATATATAGTCAAACAGTACGTAACGTTGTGAACAACTTCAATGACAGCAGTGCTTCCATTTTATTTAATGAGCAATCCAATGCCTATTAGGTTATGCTGAAGGTGTGCCGATGGATGTGCTCAAGCTATGCCGAATCTACTTTTGATGCTACAGAGTGCTGAGAGTATTACCCCTTGGTTCCACTGAGAAATGCAATCGCTGTAACCCTCGAAAAAAATCTCATTCCTTCCGGATGTATGATACCCTCCAGCTTCACCGGTGCTACACCGCCGTACACCGAAATAATTTAGGGTGTAGATATCGGATGCACCTTTGTTTACAAACAAATGATGTTTAGATCTAAATGACTCGCACTACACCGGTTCTACAACGCAAAAACGAAAACGACATTAATCATGGTCTGCAATTATGTGAAAATTCAGCTTTTGGAACACAGCCAGTTTTTCTTGAACCCCATAGCACAACTTTAAGAACGCTGCTATTACTGGAACACCCTATGTAGGTTATCGTTTTCATTTAAACGGTATTATTATTAATAAAACAAAAAGGTTTTTTTGTATGGAAAATACGGTTCGAACGTAATCGAGAATATGGATGTTTGTCAAATTTCAACGGAAGATATTTAAATTTCCCTATTATCACGAGATCTATGTTTCTACTTGATCAAATGCTGATGATTGAGTATTATTTTGTTGATTAAAAAAACACATTTTTTGTGGAGTATTTCGGATGCGCTGTATCAAATCACACAACAATTTCATAATGTGAACCTTTAATTACACTTATACTCGCCTGCAGACTAATGTCTTTACACGTTTGGTATGGTTATTAAATGCTTTCTATTGAGTAATAATTGCTTAAATTACGACTTGGAAGACTAATTTTATCGCATTCCTGGTTTACGTGCATTATCATGCACACACAATATGCAATCTCATTTGTTTAATAATAGACCATATCGATCGAATCGTTACGAAATGAAGAAACAATAATAATATTGATCTTAGAGCCGCTTCTGCAAGCGCAGGCAACGTATTCTAATTTTGAAATATTTGCATATTGTGTGCATCACAGCAGCAATATGATTTGAGCGTGAGAAGATAAGCGGTCAAGATAATGCACATTCCTTCAGCGATCCTTCATTTCGACGGATTCCATCAACTTTGTTCATTCAAGATTTCCGTAGCAAAGGTATTTGATGTAAACATATTCATCGATGCCATGCTTCGAACCCTCTCTGCCGATGCCAGACTCCTTTATTCCTCCGAAAGCTGCCTCAGCGCATGAAATAAGTCCTTCGTTAACTCCGATCATTCCCGTTTCCAGCAGTCTCGAAACTCGGAACACTTGATTCAAATCCGAACTGTAGAAATAACCAGCTAAACCACGTTGCGTACCGTTAGCAATCCTTAATGCTTCCTCTTCCGTTTTAAATCGAATAATGGAAATTACAGGTCCAAAAATTTCCTCATTATAAAGTTTCATATCGTCTCGCAAATGGGTAACAATCGTTGGTTCGTAGAACAAAGTTCCTTTGTCAGACAGCTGACGACCACCGTATATAACTTGGGCTCCCTTCTGTTTAGCATCTTCAACAAAGTTTGAAACTTTGTCGACCTGGGCATGATTAATCAAAGGTCCAATCTGGACTCCTTCCTGACTTCCATCGCCAATTTTGAGGGCCTTCAACTTTTCCGTCAACTTTGCAATGAACTTATCATGAATTCCGTCCTGAATTAAAAATCGATTTGCCGAAATGCACGTTTGACCACAATTCCTAAACTTGGAATTCATAGCTCCAGCAACGGCTTTGTCTAAATCAGCAGAATCAAACACAATGAATGGAGCGTTACCTCCCAACTCCAAACCGATCCGTTTGATTCCATGGGCACACTGTTTGTACAGGAGTCTTCCGACCTCGGTCGAACCGGTGAAGGAAATGGCTGAAACCTTTTCACTTTTGCAGAGTAGTTCTCCAATGCTGGCCGCATTCTTTCTGCTGCTTGTCACAACATTTATTACTCCTTTCGGAAAGCCGGCTTTCTCGGCCAACTTGGTCAGTGCCAATGCCGTCAATGGAGTATCCTCGGCTGGCTTGACGACAACCGTACAACCGGCCGCGATGGCCGCTGCCGCTTTCCGGGTAATCATAGCATGCGGGAAATTCCACGGAGTGATCAATCCGGCTACACCAACTGGTTGCTTGGTGAGCATTATCTGTCGATTAGACTGCGGAGCCGGGATGATTTCTCCGTTAATACGGCGAGCTTCTTCTGCAAACCACTCGACGAATGAATTTCCGTAGGTGACTTCTCCCAATGACTCTGGAATGGGTTTACCCGATTCGGCGGTCATGATTTGTGCTATCTCTTGACGGTTTTCCTCCATTAATTGGAACCATTTCTGCAATTAGATTGAGGGTGATTAGAAAGCCGACGAGACGATGGCGACAATGCCAATTCGATTGAATTGGTGACTACACTGACGGGCGAGTGAGTTCGGAGTTGTTGTTGGTTGCGGTGCTATTGATTGATAGTTATCTGTACTGATGGCTGGGTTTGTTTTCCTTTTTAATTTTTCGTTTAATTGTTGTCGCGTGCTTCAAACAATCGATATATTTTCCCATAATTTGATACTTTGGTAAACACCCCCGACCTTTGCACGGTTTTCTTGTTTCCTTTTTCTTTTCAGATTTTTCGAAACCAGATGCAGATCAAATATTGGTTTCATATTTAGGAACGTATCTGAACCACATGAACACAATAAATATTCGTGTTCCTTAAACCTCAACATTCAAAGTTTCGAAGGTGACGTGGAAGCGTTATTTCCGATTCTAAAAACCATTTTGACTAAAAAAAAAAACTGGATAAACCGTTTTCAAGCTGAATAAGCCACATGTTGTCTGAATAAGCTGCTATACTGCTTTTAATGTTACTAGGAAAAAGATCCGTTCCCATATTCGTGAACGGCGACCGTGAACCATAAGTCACGGTCCATGCATAGAAGGAAATGTTCACCGTGATGTTTCACGAGCATTTGTATCAAATAAATCCCAATGTGGTCCTTAGCCTATTGTCTGTACCTCTCCGCGGTGCAGGCTGAGGTACGAGTAACCATAGGAAAGATAGCTGACAGGGAACTGGGGATTCCACTCTTTGGAGCGCGCAGACTATCCGAGCGACTGTTCTCCATGTTATTAGGGTGTCTAATTTTGAAAAATGTCCATGATTTCATAAAGGCCACCCTCCACTTTTATTCAAAACCTGTGCAAAAACGGTAAAGATTGATGAAGGTTTAGAGGTCACGCAAATGATCATCGTCATGGTACTATAAACAGAACTGTGCACGATGGTCCTCTGACGGTGGACGGGGGCCCAACATGCTGCCCTTAAAAAAATAATCCTTTTATTTTTTGTTAAGAATCAAGATGGCATTGCAAGCCGGAAGTTTTATGGCAATATTGGAAGAGGAAGCTTGCAAAGTCGACGGACGCATGAAGCTGAATCGATGAATGTCACATCGATCACGTGGGGTTATTTGTTTTCCGTCATGAAGGCCTTCAATGTGGACAGAAACTTCACCGGATCATTATCGCTGTCTGAGAATTTTTCCACCTGTTCATATTGTTTCCCTCTACTAAATATCATGATTCTCAGAAAGACTTCACGTTTCCATGACTTTTGTTGGCTTTTACAGTCCATGAACCATGTTACCATTGTCGAGAATTGGTTCACGGTATCAAACACGTTTACAAGAACCAGATTATGATTTTCAGAACAGAGCTCATTTATCTATGACTTTTGTTGCCTTTACCGGAGCCCAATGAATGGTAACGTAGCCGTTACGTTTATTTTGCGGAACCATTTTCACGATTCCATGATTTTTATTCATGGTGTACTCGTAAACGAAAAATGGACTTGTTCCGAAACTCGTGACTTGAGGTTCACGATTTTTGGAACAGATTTTTTCCCGTGTGGAATGGAAAACAACACCAATCCAATAATTACATTTGATTCTACTTATGCAAAGCTTTGGGTTGTATAAATTTTGTTTATGATTTGGTTTCAGATACAAAAAGTTGATATATATTTTCCTGATGACTAATATAAAGCTCAAAGGTAGTGAAAACATAGAAACTGCTCTCAAAAATATATTTGTTGATCAGACTGATAGAAATGTCATTTTAAGTTTACCATCCATCTAGACGAAACTTGCCGAAACAAAATCTTTCTAGTGTTTTAGAGATTAATAATAATCCTATCATAAAGAATCTTATGGCACTTATCAACCTTGAAAGTATAGATTCTAATAATCATTAATCGCCCGTCAGGTACACGTTAGCCTTCCTGTACGGTTGTGCTCTATCGATTCCATTCGGATTTTTTTTTTCACACAACCGATCACCCTAGGCATTTCTATTTTTTTTTAAATTTCATATCACTGTTACGCTAATAATAGTGCAAAAATCAATTTTACACAGTGATTAGGTAACTGCCTCCTTTCTAAGTTCATGCATGAATTGAAAAATCAGCCGTAAAATGGGCTAAGAGATTTAGGCAACGTTTAAACTAATAGAAGTCATAAGTTTCCAAAACAGCGAAAGTGGAAAGAAATGCTTTGGATTAATTTTTCTCGTCAACAAGCACCCAGAATCTGTCTGATATAGATTCTCTTCTAGTATCTCTTTTCCTTTGCAACCATGACATCGAACTATCCCAACTCACTGCATCACTGCTAATAAATCACACCATTTATCAATTGCCTTACTTTTAGCAGCGCTGCTCGTTCCTTCGCTGTACTGTTGTGCCACTGTTTGTCGTAGAATGCATTGTAGGCAGCATCAATTGCTTCGTTAGCATCGCTGACGTCCATGTCTGGTACGGTTCCGATCACTTTTCCATTGGCCGGATTCGTCACCTCGAATGTACCACCACAGCGAGCTCCTACCCATCGGCCATTGACAAAAGCCTTATCTTGCTGAAGATGCATATAGCGCCGTAATAAGGTAGCGTTGCAACCTACTGAGCGTTGAAGCCTCGAGACACGACTCAATGCTAGTAATACGGTGGACATACTGAATTTGATTACTCAATCTAAAATAAGAAAAGTGATAACATTTTGCACTGTTATTATAGCAATATAGACTCACACTAACCGAACGATTAGATAGTCGCCTCAAAAAGCAAACAGTATTTCACTGTCAAGGTTCCAAACTTTGACCACGAACAAAAATCTCCAGTTGATCAAACTGCTACTGGCGACGGAATATTCTCTACTAAACTGCAAACTGTCAAAATCATGTGCGGCAAGGTCATAAAAATAAATTTGTGTATCTTTCAGCATCGGCTAGAGGTAGAACGAGACGACTGTTTTCACGTCCGTGGCCGCGAGATCGATTACCAAGCACCATACAAGAGAGGGAGAGAAATCGTCAAAACAACCGGCTTACTGCGCATGCGGTGCCCAACCTGCACCAACATCAAACACACTGACGTCTGATTTTAGTATGTATCACTAGGTGGCTGACTCGTTAGGAAGATCTATGTTGTTGTTGCTATATAGACTGAGTAGGGTAATACAGTTCAAAGCGCACCCTGGGAAGAAGATGGCCCCGCGCGGTTTTTCATAGCTTTCCCATTATCAATGCGGGAATATAACGTGCAACATTGCTAGTTTAGTACTTAATGGGAAAGCTACGAAAAAGTGCGTGGGGCAATTTTACCCCAAGGTGTATTATGGACTATTTTCCGCTATAAGACAAGTGTTCATGGCAAACCTTTTCTTTCCTAAAGGTTTTAGTGAGGAGATGAGTGAACACTTATCATCATCAATAAATACTACTGTTCAGCAACAAGATAATAACAAATGAATTGAATTGCACATTACGTTACGAGATGATTTAAATCTAAATTATCCATCAGGCATAATAATTACAGAGCTAGCAGACAGTTATTGTATTATAACAGTGTGGGAACAGATAAAATTACTATAGTATTCATAAACCTGTTACAGTTGAAAGATGTGTCGATGATTTGATTTATATCTTAATGAACTCACATATCGCAATTGAATCCATGTAGAAAATGAGAGTTTATTACACCGAAGCTATTAAATTGCTTAACATGCTGAAGTTATGTTTCCCGAACATGATTTCAGAAAAAAAAAGTAGCCACAAACATATTCAGTCCTAAAAAGTATTTCCTTAAAATTTAGCTTATTTAAAATCAATTCACAAAATCGATGTAATTGTTATTGCTGTAAATTTTGAAGTTATGCTTTACAGGATCAAACAGTTGATCCTTAAATCTCAAACTTCAAATCTAACCCATTTGTTTGAAAACTTTTTGCATCTAGCTTTTCATAAAAAAAAATGTCTTATTAGTACAGTTATCAAGTTTTCCATTTGATAACTGTACTAATAAACATTTATTTTTTAGAAATTGGGCTAATGGGAAATGGTTCAGTGATCGAATGCGTTACCCAACACCGTTGATTGAATTGCCTGGTTAGACTCAACACTGTGCACTGACATCTGTTGAATGCTTTTAGGAAAGTTCGCCAATACTTTTTGCAACGACGTCCTACTACCTCAACAAATTGAAACCGTCTCAAGTAACGTGCCGATTTCCGATCGATGCATTCATGCAATTCCTGTCGATGACTCTAGCATTCTTACCGCTGCGAATAAGATGAAATCATCGAAAACAACTGGGTCGGATGACATCCCATCCGTGTTCCTCAGACGCTGTATATCATCATATACATATATTTCTATTATCGTTGACGACCAGTAAATCCCCTTCGTTAATGAAAGACGCGTGATAGACGAAATGCTGACTATTATCGTGGAATTTCAACATTATGTGCGGCTTCCAAATTGTTCGAATTGGTGGTCCAAGGACCAATCAATTTCCACGTGAGGCAATAGGAGCGAGGATCAGCATGGATATATGCCAAAGCGTTCAACGACCACGAATCTCCTGTCAATCACGTCGTTCATCATGAATGGGTTTACAGCTGAATCGCAAACAGACGTCATGTATATGGATTTATCGGCGGCATTCGACATAATCAACCACGATATTGCTGTGGCAAAGTTGGAAAGGCTTGGCATCAGTGGTTCCCTACTGCATTGGTTCCGATCTATGGCAGAAGCATCAGAATCAAAATTGTTGACGAATTGTCAGTTCCGTTCCCCGCTCTGCCGGGTATTCCTCATGGTAGTCATATTGGGCCATTGATCTTCCTGTTGTATTTCAATGATCCCATCGTTTATCCTTTGCTGTTGATCTCAAAATCTACGTGCACGTGAAATCGTTACAAGATGCTATGGAGCTGCAAGACGACCTGGAGACAATTCAAAAGTGGTGTGAGATGAATAGCATGCTCTTAAATCCCATTAAATGTACTGTAGTCACATTTTCGAGAAAGACGACCCTGTTAAACTTCGGCTATTCCTTGACGGGCACTCGATTGCAGAGGGAAAACTAAAGACTTAGGAGTGATTCTTGATTAAAAGCTCACGTTCAAACCGCACGTAGGCACAAAAGCCTCACGAAGCATTGGCTTCACTAAGTAGCAAAAGAGTTTCAAAATCTATACTGCCTGAAATCACTATATTGCTCCCTGGTACGAACGACATTGGAATATGTTTCTCCAGTTATAAACCCTCATTTCCAAAATGGTGTTGAACGAATCGAGTCGGTATAGCAGCGTTTTATCAGATACGCTCTCCTAATATTGCCTTGGAGGGATCCCTTTTATTTTTTCGGCTACCGTTGCCATTGCCTCATGATTCAGCTGGACACCCTCCAAACACGACGTGAGGTGGCTCAGGCACTTGTCATCGCTGATATTCTAACCGACCGTATGGACTCGGCAACATTAATGTTCAAGCTCGCTTCCGTGTATTTCGTGTAACTATGCGGCGAATTCCGGGCTAATCGCCTTCCAACGGACGTTCAACCGAGTCTCCTCAGTTTTTGATTTTGACATGTCACGCGACTCTCTTAGAAGACAATTTTTGTTAGCTTTTAAATAACTTTTTATCATTTGGACACCATACAATAAATAATAAAAAAAAAAAACAAAAAAAAACAGACCTTTGTCCCTTAGATATTTTATACTTGAACCTACTTAGACGCAATTTGAACAATTCATATCAAATTTTCTAATGTATCTCTCTTAAAGTTGATTTCTACAATATGAGCAGTTCTTTGAAAGATAAAAGCTACTCGAAACTATTACTCTTGGCTGACTGCTTCTTTAAAACATGAACAGTTCTGTAGTCATTTTTAATTAGGTTCTATGTCCATTTGTCGATCTAAGAATCTATCAACTTAATTCGCTTTCTACCGCAATACTTTTCAATATTGGTGCATACAATCAAATGTCCAATGATTAACTCTCAAACCTCCACAGCTCATCAAAACTTGAGAACTTCAGAACATACGGAATTATTTGAGTTTTAGAATTTTTCAATATCAGACGTTGGGGGTTTGAGAGTCAAATAACAGATTCTACGTATCATTATTCCTTCCTCTTGGCTGGTTTTTGCACCTTGGGGTTGATGCATATATTATGTCACGCTCTTTTCTAAGATTTTGTGACCAGCAATGCATTAGGTATAGGAAAAACGTCACGATAGGGGGGAGGGGGTAATTTTTTGCTCGATTTAGCGTGACATAATTAATGCATGGGCCCTTGTTGCTGGTGGGTGGGTTTAATTTCATGCTTTATAGTGGAGTGTTGGAGACTGTAGGTTTATGACCGGCGTTGCTGGCACATGTCGCGACATAATGGTGCCATGGGCAGGCGATGAGGATTACTAAGCTTCCCCTATCTGATAAACCACTGCATGAGAGAACCAAAGATCTAGTCTAGCAGTGATAGTATCACACTTGTTACTCCTTTGTTTGAGAGCCGCGTTGTAGTATGCTTACGTATAGGCACTGACGTTGGGTGCGATATTGGCGGGTTTTGCCGCAAATCACTCTTATTTTATTTATTTTTACGCAGATAGACTTATTTGGGTTTGCAAGGGAATTATGCTATTGAAATATTTCAGAAAGTGCCCAACAGTGCTCCATCTATTTGCGTGACTAGCTTTCATTGTTGTTTTCATTGAAGTATTACTCTGGAAACAATGTTAAACACCATTTTTTGTACATAGTATTGTACCTATTCTTATATGTGCTTCATTTTGTTTTGGGATAAATGTTTGAACTATTGTTCGCGATTTCTACTGTGGCGTGCTTCTTTTGTGACATACCCATACGTATTTTTGTGGAAACTAACTTCAATGTGAAGCATTTTAGTCACTTGAAGGTGTAACCTGGGTCGAACTAAGATAAAATAAATATAGGTCAAAGTAAAAAGTACTTGAAACACGTTTAATTTTACATTACAAGCACAAGTGCAGGTACTAAATAAACGTTGGGTTATGATTTATTAGGTGAATTAGAGATTTCAATTATTTATTAAATTAGGCTAATGAGATATCATAATTATCAAATGAACTTTAATAAGAAAATTCAGAAAGGCTAATACTAAAAGAATTAGGATCTTAGAATAAATCTTCCTATTCAGGCTTGAGCTTCAATAAGAAAACGCAAGCATTCCAATAGCATTATGCAGATTAACAAGGAGAGGAATAGTTTAGGAAATACGTAAAATTAGAAGTATGTGACAATTAATAACTTTTAATCTTTTGTAGGTATTGTTTTCCCCTGAGTTTATTATATTCGTTTACTATATTATTCTCTCAATGCACCAAATCTCTGATATATGTGGTAAAAGCATTTGAGTTAACTTATTTCTTTTTGTTTAAGTACTTGTTTGTAAACAGTGCTCATACAATGTTTAACTAGGAAATAAGCCCTACGTGACTGTAAAGTCGATCTTTCTTTACGTTATATTGATGCATGCTTAACTTTTCGCGGCTGTCAGATTCAACGCGTCTACGTCTACGGAGCTTACGAAGAAGTGATTCGCAATTCGGTAGAGCTTTCCAAAAGTTTTTTGAGCTTACGTAGTTTAGAATTTGTTTGGTACGGTCGCGAAATTTTGAAATGATTGATACGTGCGGTAAAATAACTAATTTGATACAAAACTCAGTAGTGTGATTAAGAAGAATATCTAGGGAGGCAACCAAAAGTAATCGACATGCTAACATGGCTATTACATTTATTTTGGTGGCACTCTTTAAATGATAATAAGCCTTTTTTTTCGCTTCGGTTGTTTCGCACGGCGTTCGCAATTCTTGTGGTTTTTGTAACTTACATAATTTAGATATTGCGTTCGAAACGGATGAACTTATTCAATC